AGGATAAGGTGTGTCCACTCTCACACAGACCTGTGCTGCAATGTCTGACCTAGCTTTGATCTGTTCAAGTGAAGTGACCTTATGTTTACTACACAGCAAATTTACATTTTTAAACAAACACTACGCACTGTGCTAAAAGAACAATCCAGAAGGGTTATGGTCACCAGTTTAAGAGGTTAAGGATAAATTAATGGATGATCAAGTAAGCGTAAATGGTGCATTGAGTTATAAACTAAGGAAAAAGCAAAAAGAGGTGAGCAGGATGTTTTGATTAGAATTTGGAATGGTACTGTTATCAAAGCATTTATTAAATACAAATAAATAATACCATAGGAATTTTGGATACAACTAAAGGTCAAATCTTCATACCAACTGCTGACTCACTATTTTCCAATGAAAATACAAACACTGCCATCCTGTTTGGCACAGGTGTGAGAGGGTCTTTTTGGATTTAAATTTAATGCAGAGACAATTGTACTTTTTGGAGCTGCTGCACTGTGCACTGGTCCTTCCACAGTGTGATCAAACCCAAATGAATGTGTGCGTGTTTTAAGGGTGTATCCATCAGACTGGATAAATATGCTTCTCTATTGTGACCCAGCCTGTGCTTTGTCATAGTCTTGTCATTGTTTTGCTCAGGCCTAAAGCAAATACAGAGGTTTCTTCAAAGAGACACACTGCCCTCTGCTGTCAAACCTGCTACATGCATGATCGCTGTCCGGTACTTTGATAGACTTTATCTCAAGAAGGTATGTTTGGCCAAATTGAGATTAATATGCAATACATGTGCAGAGGTGTTTGATTTTAGGATAGCATTTTGGATAGGTGAAATATGGATCATTACACATTTCAACACTACATGAAACCAGGAGGCACCACTCTTCAAATAAAAACATGCTATATAAACTGGTAAAAGAGTTTGTGGATGATGATTTGTATACACTGTACAAAGGAAAACACATGTCTTCATCACTGTGTGTGTTGGGCTAACTAGTAGCATTCAGTCCCACAGAGCAGTCAGCGGAATACGGATTTCTCACTCTGGAGAAATAAAGAAATGCTAATATAAAAAAAGAAGCAGAATCACAGGAAACAAAGCAGGGACCCCGGTGTGTTCAGAGGAACATTATGGCAGTACTACATTAAAAAGGCCAAGTCCCTCCTTGTGAAGCTGGCAGAGGCAGGACTTGTTGGCAGGGCAGGTGGGCACAGGTCGGTGCGCGTGAGCGTACTGTAGACAGAGGGAGGCAGTGGGCCACACGACATGCTTGGGGGACTCAGGTCTTTGTAAAGAAACACTAATCAGATTTGTCTCCATCCTCTTCGCGGTGGCTGTCCACTCCATCACGGGATGCCTTCTCCTCTTTGGCCAGTTGGGCTTGGGAGGCCAGCAGAGAGGAGAGGGAGAAGAGGCCGGATGAGGTGGTGACGGCGGGAAGGGTGGGCTGGCTCAAGCCCAAAGGCAATGGTGTCATGGGCAGGGCCAGTCCTTGAAGCTGAGACAGCTGGTGAGCCTGGAGCTGCTGCTGTAGGAAGAGAAGCAGGGAACGCTTAGAGGAAACCCACAAACAGCAAAAAACACACAAGTGTACATCAGGTGTGATGAGCTTTGTTATACTAAAATGTACAACAGCAGAGAAAATTAGGGCATTTCTATCCTAGTCATGAACTGACATACCAGAATTTGTTTGGTTTTACATTTTAGTGGAATCTATCAGGGCTGTCATGAGGGTTAAAGGTTACCTATAAAATGAGTACACAGTAGGTTTTTACTGCCATTGGTGGTAAATGAATTGTTTTATGGCCATCTTTAATTTATCCTAATGTAACATCTCCCACCCACAGCAGACGCAGCCCCAGAGGCCATTTCAACCACATTGGACATGGATGATAAAAAAACACGCTAGAAAAGATAATGATCAGTAATTGTGTGGCTGTCCCCACAGGTTGGTCGTACCCTGATGATGGAGTTCATTTCTGGGGGGGTGACCTGCTTGGCCCGTTCGATCGCTGCAAGGACCTGCTGCTGGTGCTGCAAGACACAAGTGACGGGTGATGTGAGGAGGAGAGACAAAGACCCAAAGAGAAGAGAGGGGAGTTTGGGGGAGAGGTGGAGAGGTTAGATCAATATCAATAGTCCCAACTGAACGTCAACATGTCTCACAGGTGATGTAGCCCCCTGCCTCTGGCCATTCTGCTATTTGTGCACACACACACCAAACACACACATACCAAACACACACGCACAAAGGCTTTGTGAGGCTCCAGAGAATGGATGGGAGGTTGGTGCGCTGTAATGGGTGGAGGTCAACCCCCTGGTGGGCAGATAAGAGCATAGCTTATCTGAATCACACAACCATTTATTACACTGACACACAAACACACACACATGTACAGAGCAGAGTGGGGGAGGGGCTGAGTGGAAATATTGAATATGGCGAGGAGAATCATGAAGACAGAGGAGAGGGGAGCAGGGCTACAGTGAAAGGAAGCGGCTGATGATGAATGACACAAGGCCAAGCAGGAAGAGGAGGAAGAGGGGAGGGGTCACACAGGCAGAGAGGTAATGAGGCGCGAATGAGGCCTAAACTCATTCCAGAATATGAGGCACAGGGTCTGGGTCAGAGGTCGAGGGCCACTGCATGTCAGCGAGCATACGCACCTCCTGAGACAGGTAGGGCAGCACTTGTGCGCAGATCCCATTTAATCTCTTCACTATTTCAGCCTGGAGAGAAAAAGAGGATTGGGTAAAAGAAGAAAAAAAAACAGTTCATCTGATAAAGGCTAAAGGAAATGTGACTTCCAGTAATTAACAATAATGATAACATTCTTGTCTAACAATACATACTGTAAGATTTTGCCTTTTTATTAGAATGCTTCAGAGAAAAATACAGAGCTTTGGGACATTCTATATGATACAATTGCATTTACAAAGAACACAATTTGGAGTGTATAAGGATGCAGTATATTGAAATTACAAAAATATGATACAACCATCTCTTGACCAGGACAATCACAGCAGCAGTCCAGTACAGTCTATGAGTACTAGTATTTCATCTACCTGCTCATCATTTTGAGCTTAACAAATTCATAAAATATTCCTTTTACCAGTAAAACCAAGCCAAATGTGTGGAGTGTGCAGATTCAGGTTAAACACCTTCCAGTATAGTGTGGTATACATCATTAGGAGTTGGATGAGATTACAGGTGCCCTGATTTTTCCATCAAAGCTTCATTAGACACGAGAGTGAATCAGTGATTCAGCCCACTCTCGTCTATGAGACACTACATCTCTGACCTTCTGAAAGTGGGGCACTGCACACACACATGTTCACACATATATATCATCTCTCTTTATTCCTGTCATTAATTAAGTTACTTGTACTTAAACTCTCTAAAAAACAGAGGTGCACACACACAACTACATACGCACACACACAGAGCTGCGCACGCACACACACACACAGATGCGCGCGCACACACACACAGAGCTGCTCACACAGATACACACACACAGAGCCGCACACCGCTCCCTCTCACACGCAGGTCTATTATCACATTTGGTTGGTAATCATCCAATCCGTCTGAGATATGCAAAGCAGCAGTAATTGTGTTAGAGCCTAATTGGTGGCGCTGAGGAGAAGGCGGCCTTTCCTCACAGTCATTAGACATGCCGAGCACAGCTCACATCAAGCATCGCTCCTATCCACTCGTCATTACACATCCAGCACTGACATCTCCAAAATGTCTCTGAAATGTCTCTGCGGGACTCGCTCTAAGCAAAGCGCCCCTCCCTCGTTCACATAGCCTTTATGCTTGTGTCTCTTTTATCTGCCCTCCATCACTGCCTCTGCCTCCTACACTGCTTTTTAAAACTGTTGTGTAGTGACTTTTTCTCCATCTTTATCATTCTCTTATTTTAGACTCAGTCTAAAAGAAATAATTACTTGCTTATTATTCACTAAATTTTAATGAAAGTAATGTTGGCATTGGGTTTGTGTCTCAAAAATCTGTCTCCAGTCATTTAATTTTAAATTCACAAAATAAAAAGGCACAATGTCTGTAGAATTATCTGTTGGGATGGGAATGACAATGCCCACACAGATTCACAGTCACAGATTAAGGTGTACATATGTACACAAAAACTTAATGTTGTAAATTATTCAGTCCTATTATTTTTCTATTGATTTTTCTAATAAGCACTGAAATTGAGAATTTTTGTGATTGTTTTTAGTAGTTCAGACTGTTCACATTTCACCTTTTACATCACATCCAGGAGCCCTACCTGTGAGAGCAGACTGAAATATGAACTACTATACTAATTCTAATACAACAGGCTTATAGCAACCAAATTTGATTTTTACAGATAATGTAATCAGTTCAGAAATACAACTAAAGCCAGATTTTCCACAAAGAGTTCAGCCAAGAGAGTAGAAGAAGGTTAGATTAAGGAAAAAAGGATCGAACATTTGAACAAAAAATAAGCGAAATGCAGTATGACAAGAGTAAGGAGTGAGAGAGAAACTGACTGGCTACAATAGGCCTCGACATGAATGCTCCTCCACACTCGTCTCCACACATCCCCTTCAATCTCAACTCACTAATGGAAGTAGCAGCACCGCTCACACAACGCACAAAAGAAGAGGGAACATGCACATAAAGGACAACAGGAAGGCTCTCAAACAAAACGCACCCTACTGCACAAATGCTGTACACCAGAGGTGAATGGGTGCGTTCATGTGGTTCAAATAGCAGGATGCGTGAGAAATGTACGGTATCACAAAGACAACCACTCTGACACTGTCTTCTCTGCTGCTGACCAGAGGAATGTCTGAGATGAATTGAATAACTCAATTAACACTATATGAGTGTTGGACCTGAGTTATTATCCAGGTTTGTGTGGGTGCATAAACTGGGCAGTCCCTAAATCATGGCGCATGTCTTCTTTTATGTGCACCTATGCTTATGTGCATTTGTCTCAGCTTTCTGGTCCCGTCCAATATGGCCACCAGTGTTCACCGTCAATCATGGGGCGGTGTGATGACAGGAGGTGGCAGACAGGTCATCTGTATGGGCAAAACCAAAGACAAATATTCTTCTTGTCCACATCGAGTGTAGACATAAATGATTCGCTTTGGCCCAGCCTGATGTATGGACAAGGCTTCTGCAACCCCAGAATCCTTTGCCAATGTTAAGTAAGCTCATAGATCGTGACGCATCATAAATGGAAGCTGGAGGTACCAATTAATTAGATTTCATTAATTCAATTATTAGATTTTTTTTTTATGGCCAAGAAGTCAAATAATATTTACAACAGTATTCAGATTCATATTCACAAAATGGTCAAAAACATTTTTACAAACTTGTGGCAGTTCTGGCTTGATTGACTCTGTGCAGAGAGCCTCTCGGCCCTCCAATGGTTGGGTCATTGACCTGTGTGTAGTTGACCAGTCACAAAGTGTCCCATTGACCCTAAACTGGTGTCAAACCTTTGTGAATGTTTGTGCACATTTGTTCACACATAATTAACTTTAGTGCACACTGTGTTTTTAGATACTGATCAACAATTGGTTATTGCCACACTTCAGACGAATAGCCAATAACTAATCAGTGATCAGCATTTCAAAATCAGAGCTTACCCAAGCCCTTATACAGTGAGCACAAACTTTAAAATATTTTCACCCTTTAATGAAAGACGTAGATGTATAGTTGTTTTGCACTTCCAAGGCCACCATATTGCCACTCTATTGTACATTATCAGCAGCATCAGCACAAGCCCAGAGTAACATTATTCAGATGTGCCTAAACACCTCAAAGTGACGGGATTATATTATGTGTGCTGCCCACAGCTGTCACTCAGAGAGCTGCAGGTGTGCGGAGAACAGCTGTGTCTCTGTCAACACCACAGACCAATTGAACGCTCAGGGCTTTACTCCATAAACATGCAAGCGCTGGGTCTCACTCTCAACATCACAGCAGCAGCAGGGACCAGAGAGGCTGGAGACTGCACCACACGCTGGTCATCACACAACTCCCAAGTACAGTGTTTAAACTTTGTGCTCTGCATTTTTACTGTGAATTATTTCCAGCAAATAGCACACTGCGAAGTACACAGGCATGTTGGCAACAACATAATGCTGTTAAGTGCTAAACTATAGAGTAAAAGACCAAAAGACATAGAGTAGATAAGATGACAACTCTGAAATGCAACCGTTTGATATTATTACTGTGCTCTGATAGAAATAAACTTACCTGTTTGTGCATCTCAATGTTCAGCCCATAGGACATCTCATAATACTAGAATGAAATAAGAAACAAAGTACATAATCAGATTATTAGATTACATTAAATACAATGTTAATGTTTAGATTTCCATTGCAAATTAAAGTAAAATGTAGCATTTAATTGGTCTAAGATAATAGCACTGATCATTCCTGTGTAAAACATATTGTGTCCATATTGTCAAAACCACCATTCTGCCTTTGACAAGTCACAGACTGCAGAAATGCACACACACACAGACAAAGGGCTGTACAGAGAGGAGGAAGTGGAGGAGAAAGCCGACTGTGGAGTGCTGAGTGTTAATGAGAGGGCCACCCTCTGGGCGTCCCTGTGTTAATCACCCTGTGTCTGAGGCCAGTAGCTGTCGCCGCAAAACAAACAGTGCAGCGCTCTGCACAGCGCACATTTCTATCACTCACTCGCTCCTTCAGACAAACACCAGCTATTGTTTTGTGCCCAGTCTCACACTGACAATATCAGTTGTACGTGCACACACACGGGCACAGTGCGCACATACACCGCTCTGCTTTTGAAGCCCACATGAAGCTCCCTAAAGTAATTACAGCAGCGGGAAATGGAGGTGCAGCCAGTGACCGGGGGAGAGGGCCGACCTGACAAGCTATTAGAGGGAAAAAGGGGGGCACAGCCGCTGATGGAGGGAGCACAGCGTAATTGTACAAGTGTGGAGCCTCAGTGTGCACTGTGCTGCTGCACTATGTCTGTGAATGTGCCCAACTTTAGAGGATCATAAGAGATATGTTGAAATACTGATGCTTAAAGACTGACTAATGTCAGATCTCTTTAAAGTTAAGTATTATAAATTCCTGTTCACGTTCTTGACCGCCCATGTTTTGCTACCTCTTTAACAGTAAATCTATAGAAGTGGGTGGAAGATAACACATCGAGCACCTATGGTCTCTCAGGGGTTAAATCCTTCACACAAACAACACGACTGACAGAGCTGAACTTTCCACAGACCTGTGAGGGCTCTTGGCTCTGGCTGCACTGTGCTGTCTGCTTTCTCTTAGTGCTTCATACGTCACAAACACCATAAAGGTCACGCTGCTAATCTGACACATGTGCAATCTGACTCTCAGTTTCATTTAGCACAAGCAAAATCATATCCTAAAATCAAATCACAAAGCAATCGCAGTACAACCACAGTGCCATTTACTCAACCATCACAAATGAATTTAACTTATCATCTGCATTAGAACATTTGCTTTGGGGGCATTTGTGTACACTTAAACTGCTCAGGCCTGGAGATAAGAGAGGCTTAAACCAGAACTGTCTCCACCATTTTAGCTTGCACGTTTTGTTTGCTCGGCACAGCCATCAGCCGGAGAGTGTGGGAGCGCTCAGCCTGCCTCTGTGTGTGTGTGTATGCGTGCTCCTGACAGTGGAGAGAGCAGTGCGGCGGTGCAGATTAGATGAGATTAAAGCCAGTCAGAGGATCAATTAGAGGCAAAACATCAGACAGCTACACGGCAACGGCCAGCAACAATGAGATTAGCCCCGAGTGCAGCACTGAGTACATCTGTGTGTAGTGTCGGGCGGTGTGTGCAGTTATACAGCATACGAGCAAAGGGATATAGGAAGAGCATAACTGATACTATATAGGTAATTGCATTGAGCATAGTGGCAGGGACATGTCTTTGTCTTTAATGGTTTTGGTTAATTATTTAAGAAATCAAGCATGGGCAAGAAGCAATCTGAATACCTTGAACATTTTAAATTTCTTGTCCAACCTAACTAACTATTCCTTTCAACAATTTAATAGTGTAAATAATTTTTGTGAAAACCATTTGTCCAGACTTACCATGATATAATGACGCTGCATCTCTGACTTCTCGCTGGCCAGCTTGTCACATTCGAGCTTGAGGCTGTGGACAGAGGAGAGTGTCAGCCCCTGTGTGTGCTCTGAAGTGCTGACACCAGGTGCCCCCTACTCCCTTCATCCTCATTACCTTCACTTTCACTAAGAGCCCATCATCTCTGCCTCCACCTGAACCTCCGTCAGCCCAGACTGCCTCTGGCTTACCACGCCTTAATCAACACTCGGGCCGCTTGCTTGACAATTGATGGAAGAGGTCAGACTCATTTTCAAACACAGAATCCATTCCAAAAGTCTGCTTTCAATCAGGCGTGAGGAGGCAGAAGAAATAGCCTAAAATAGTGTTGGAGTACAAGGCAAGCCTGTCGCCGTGACAGCCATTAGCAGTAATCATGTCAGCGCTGATGTCACGCGAGGAGACAGGACAAAGGAGGACGCGTCAACAAGTCACTGTGATAGTCTCAAGGAATCGACAGAGGTTAAAAAAGAGACAGGGGAAAAGCCCCACAGTGAGATTTACTGAAGCAGCTGGTTACAACCTGCCTGTGTCAGACTGCCTTATCCGACGTGACGACCGGATGCAGCTCAGATCAAATAAAGATATGTGGCGGCACACGGCGCAGTCTGCACTCGTCTGATGCTGTGTGGATATTTATGCTGGGATGTTCTGAGCTGTCTACAAGAATGACAGCCCCATCTCTGGAGACTGGATGAATCTTCATGGCATTAGTCTCACACTAGTCACATCTGCACTACTGTCTAGTGTACTACAACTGGTACTGTGAATGTAGCAGCTGTACATGTCATAGTTACAGACAAAAAAGTAACCAATTAAACATGGACAATGTGTGCTAGGGAGTCACAGTGGTCTGTAACTGACAGCTATGACTTCATTAGGAGTCAAGACAGATCCAGGAAGGGCTGGAGGAGAGTCTTTGGCGACAGGGGTTTACATTAACATACACACATTTAATCAAAACGGTTCAATATCCACTATCCATCCACACCTTCTCTTTTATCATTCTGTAATTGTGTATAGCTGTGAGTTGTCATGACAACGGCTTCCTCTCTGTCAGCCAACCTGGGAATGGCTTTGTACCTCTGATTGGGGCAAGGCAGCTCCCGGGCCCAGTGCGCTGATCTCAAACGACACTTTGATGGAGTTTTATTGCCAATGCTTCCGTTTCCAAATCGCTCCTGCTGTCATCTTTATTTTGATTTATGTATCCCCTGATCTATTTATGCACGTGAGTGCGAGAGGAGGAGGGGATACGAGAGGGGGTGAAGGAAGACAGCAACGACGCTACTATGCCCCAGGGAACGCCCGTGGTACATTTGCCTTTTAAAGCTTCAGCAAAAGACAGGCACAACAGAGACGCAGCGTGCTACAAAGCCTCATGTCCCAGGCCCCCGCCCCAATCTCCTCTGCACTGTAAGCATGTTCAGTACACGCACACAAAAAGGAATTCTTTCAACTGTGCCCCGGCTCTCTGAAGAGGGTTAAACGCTGCTGCTCACCGTTGTGGGAATTACAAAAACCAAAGAAGAAGAAGAAGACGTGCACAGTGCTACGGTGGGTCCACAATCCATTGCAAACAAGAACGATCAGACCGGAGCAGGGATTTCCACACAGTGTGCATGGCTTTCATGTGCGTTTGCCTGTGTCTGTACCGGCTGAGGGGGCCTGAGAGGACAGGTACAGAAGAACAAACCCGCCTCCTTCAAACGTCTTCTACACAGACAGAGCGCACTGTGCTGTAGACCCGACGGCGCCCCCACTTCACAACTGCTGTGAAAAGGAGCAGCCCAGGTTGGAACTTTGAATGTGCCCAAGACTGAAGCTGTACACCATGAAGAGACGTTGATAGATGAGGGCTTGAGATAGCTGTAATATTCCTAAATCAAACTGTCTATTTTATCATTTATTGTTTGTATCCAGGGTTATTTAACATGTGCAAGACACTGGGGGAGTGTATCTCTATAAATATGCTATATAACTTGGCAACTATTATATATATATAATATATATTATATATATATATATATATATAATAATATTTTTATATATATATATATATATATATATATATATATATATATATATATTATATATATATATATATATATATATATATATATATATATATATATATATATATATATATATATATATATATATATATATATATAATATATATATATATATATATATATATATATATATCTTGGCTCTGACCGAGCCAAGATCCTGTGGGACTTCCAGATACAGACTGACAGAATGGTGATGGCGAACCAACCAGACATAGTGGTGGTGGATAAGAAACAGAGCAGAGCCGTGGTGGTTGACATCGCAATACCAAGCGATGGTAATATCAGGAAAAAGGAACACGAGAAGCTAGAGAAATACCAGGGGCTCAAGGAAGAGCTGGAGAGAGCCTGGAAAGTAAAGGCATCAGTGGTGCCTGTGGTGATCGGAGCACTCGGGGCTGTAACCCCCAAACTGGAAGAGTGGCTACAACAGATACCGGGAAAAACAACGGACATCTCAGTCCAGAAAAGTGCAGTACTGGGAACAGCAAAGATACTGCGCAGAACTCTCAAGCTCCCAGGCCTCTGGTAGAGGACCCGAGCTCAATGAGGGTGAGAGAGACCTACCACCGTGGAAGGTGAGAAACACATTTTTTATATTATATATATATATATATATATATATATATATATATATATATAATATATATATATATATATATATATATATGATATAATATAAAAAGATAGATATAGGTATATAATAAAATAAAATATAATACTGTAAGACTGTGCGTTGTAGTCACCTGTGATACTGTGCTTGAAGAAACTGGAATTCATCCTTGATTCTGTCACACGAGTCTGAGGTTGTGAATTTCAGCTGCTGTGATGAAGCCTGAAACAAGAAGAAAGAAAGAGAAAAGTAAGAGAAATACAGTGAAAATACAGTTTTAAAAAGCTGAATTAGAGTTGCTCAGTATATCGCACCCGACCCGGCCCTGGATAAGCGGACGAAAATGGATGGATGGAGTTGCTCAATATATCGCAATTAAAAATTCTATTTGATTTGACTGAAATCATACAGGTTGCAATTATTTCCGTGATGGAATTTCCTCTGCAAACAAAAAATATCTTCCTCTTTTACAATGCAATACAGTATAAATCGTAATTTGAATGGACGCAATTAAGCAAATGGCCAAGGTTGCAATTTTTAAGTACAATTGTTTCCTCCACAAACAACATAATATCCTGTTAATAAAAAAACGCTAACTCTGTCGTGTAAACCTGTACAAACACATTCTGAAATGTGATTCTTGTACTAGTTTGTCAGTTCTTATTTTTCTTCTTATTTAAGTTTAAAGTGTGCATTTTGAACTAAATCCTGGTTTGAAAATTTTAATTGCAAATCGCATATTTTCCTTCAATGTCTATAAAATCATGCCTGCATCAAGCTACCCTCTTGCAGAGCTGTTTAGTGCTCCTAAATAGCTATTAACTAGTTCATTGGTTAATTTCAGGTTGATTAATTTCATATGTTTGACCCATGTGCTGTAAATAACTTAACTGCCACTTTAAAGGGAATGGTTTTTGAGTAAATCCTTGCACAATACAGTTATATCCATTATAGTACCACTGCCTCACTACATTCCCTGAGCTGTGGTAGAGGGCCTGGGTGTGTGTTGGAGCCCAGCAAGCATCAAAATAAAGGACAAAATCTCATTATCCCCCAGCAGGCTGCATAATGGTTCAGGTGGGAAAAAAGGGGAAAAGTGAGAGAAATCGACATTTGCAATGCTACTGCAACTGAGCGGCATTAAAAACCATCGGAAATCTGATTGCGGCACTTACAGGAAGCTAGAACAGCGCTGTTAGCAATGACCTGTCGCTTTGTACCCAGCTCCCCACGGCATGGCGCCTGCTTCATTTGGAACTACAAATAGGCTGCTTCACATTCATAGTGCCACAGCAGCAAAGAGGCAACGCAATGGGCTCGCTTCAGGTTGTAGATGGACCTGTGAGCTTCAAAAGGATAAATTAGCTGTGCTGTGTGCCACTGTGGAGTCTGCAGGGCTCAAACATGGCTTAGGGTCAGGAATAATCCTCAAGCCATTTGAATTTAAAAGTGAGGATGCAAGAACCATACAAGCAGAATATAAGCATTGTTTTAGACTAAGTAGATCAATTTTCTATGTTAAAATTGTTAAAATCACGAAAATAGATTAGGTCAACAGATTTAATATGTAAATTAAAATTCTGATTGGCTTGTCATTATAAATTACAATTCAGCAGCTTTTCCAGGAATGTTCCACCGTATGGAATTAAACATTGATCTGCAAGAATGGATTTTTTCTCCCTAAAATGCATTTTGACTATCAAGGAAAGTATGCTGCACATTTCACAACATCACAGAGTCTTGTTGCTTAGCTTTTTAAAGACCCAGTTTTCAAGGGATTTTACAAAAGAAAATATCCCTAAAAGTCACAGTTGAAGTGAGTGGAGAGAGACTTGAGCCAATGTGAAGAGGAGAGCTGACATTATCATCAGCTGCATGAACAGACAGCTCTAATCCACACAGAGCACTGCTGCTGCTTGGAAACAGCCCTGTGCCACTGTAAAGCACAATAACCTGTCCCATTATCTGTGTGGCCAGTGTACAGCACATCAGCTCCACCGCGCCGAGTCAACACGCGCCGCTGTGCCCCCGGGAGCCGCCCTGACAGCTCTGTTTGTGCGCCGTGACGACAAGTCGCCCCTCCGCCTCAGGCCGGAGCTGTTGCCCTAGATCCAATTTCCTCCCTGTAGCTCTGCAGTATGCAAACCGCTTTAAATGCTCAAAGTTTGCCCCAGTCAACAGCCTCCGGTTGGACATTTTACAGAACAGAGAGAGGATAGAGAGAAAGTACTGGTAGAATCAAAACAAGCTACATTTTAATAAAATCTAAAAAGGAAATTGTCAGTGTGGAGAAAACAATTTGTCCATTTTACAAAACACAACATAAATAATTTACCTTATTTGCAATATTTCTTAAGCATTATTATGTAGAAGTCTACAGAGAGCCTTCCCTCCATAAAAACAGGTAAAAAGATGCTCATGACACATATGCATTATTAATACCCAGTGTGTTAAAGTATTTGTAATACCTGTAGTGAAATCACTAGTTCTTAGCAATATGGTATCAGCAAAAACTCCAGAATACCACGCACTGACTGGATCAAGTTGTGTTCATCACTGCCACCTAGTCCATTCAAAAAGTGACTTGCTATAATAAACACTTCTGTGTTTAGACTCAGAGCTGTGATTTCATAGCACACAAATGCTGCAAACCATTTCAGACACCATACAATATATTACATATTTGATTTCATCTCTAAAAACAAAGATCAGTAGTTTTAGACAAATTTAGTCCATTGTCCAGCTATACAAAACGAAACAGAACATTATGTCTGTGTTAATATGACTGAAATTGAACAAAGAAGAGTAGAGTTGAGAAGGTACTAAGCTATGTGTTTTCCTATACGCTTTTTACCCTCAAACCTTGGACCACTCAACACAGCTCTAGCAGTGCATGCCAACCGCTGTACACACTACCAGCTAACAATGTTTATTATCCCTCTCCGTCAGTGACCAAAACAAGGTCCTCCACAGGGGCCCAGAGCCCACAGCAGATGGATGCCCATAATGTTAATGAAATACTGCAGTAATATTGTGACACATGCCATCTGCTTTGACAAAAAGGTGCATGCTGCGGTGAAAGTAGAAACTGGGGACGGCCATGGAGGGTGAGACAGGACGAGAGCAGGGTAGAAAGAGAGTGGGAGGGTTGGGGGGGGAAGAAAGAGAGAGAGAGGGTGAGAGAGAACCACCTAAACAGCTATAGGAGTGTGTGCATGTGTGGGCTGTGATAAGCCTCCAGTGTGATGCTTGGCTGCCACAGGAACAAATACTCACTGTTATGAATCATACACAAGCACCCCCCCCCACCCCCCCACCCCCACCCCACCCCACACCCCCCACCCCACCCCACACACACACACATTAAATTTGCATAGACCCATTCACACGCACACACAAGCACACAAAAACACACACCTAAATGTAGGACAATCTCTAATTTGATTCTGCTTCGCTCCTTTGAGACGTAATTAAAGCATTAAAAAGCTTTGTGTGCTGGTGAGGCAATTGAGACAGTCTTGAGCGAATAAATGGGATTCATCGTTTCAGGAAATTGCTGCCCCACCCCCAAAAGCCCACCCCACTCCCCCCGCCCCCGCTCTTCCTGGACTCATCATCTGGTCCAATCCATGTGAAATCTACTGTGAACCATAATGTCTGCTTTAAATAAGACTCGCACTAAGACTGTCTCTGCTCCATAGATCAGCTGACAATGGCAGAAGAGAGAGATTTCAGCTCTGGCTCTGCTTTATCCGCACAGCTCCTACAAAACACACTGATTAGACACACCAACAAAGCATGAATACGCTACATGTATCCAGCAGAGTATTTAGCCCACAGTAAACACAGACTAGCAGCTGGAGGAACGGCCTGGGTCTAAATCCCGGCCTGGGGGTACAGGGCTCTGTGGGGATTGGGTTTCCCGGAGCACTGTTTACATCTCTGGGAGGGCGTGTGGTGCCTGAGGGGGGCAGGGAGCCACGCAGCCTTGGCATTGTAATCGCTCACTAATGACTGGATGTTATCGCACTCCCACTTTCAAATGCATGCAGAAGATGTACGTTTACTAACAGTTGGCCCATTTCTCAACGTCAGCCTGTCTGTTTGCACCATAGCAACAGTCCCAAGGATGCCATTTGAGCCATCCGCCCTCTCTGTCCATCACAGTCACATCCAAGTGCGCAGGACGTCTGCGAAGGCATCATTATTCAAACACATACGAGGAGGGGGCTGTTTATGTACATTAGGCTCAATGCAGCTTTGCATTCTGTGTTCTCACAACATCTTCTATAGGGAATAGCTAGGAGGACAGGAGTTTAACTGACAATAAATAGCATCACCCAGCAGACCCAAAGAGTTCCAGAGATGTAAAAGGCTTTGTTAAGCTTATTTAAGTCTGTATGTCTGTATCGAAAATATTTTTGCCATTAGCAATAGCTGAAATGTATGCAGACTCAAATAAAAACTCACATACTTGACTTATTCTGTGATTGCAATGTACTTTGTGTACCGTAAATTCCAGACTATAAGCCGCTATTTTTTCCTCACACTTTGAACCCTGCAGCTAATAAAATGATGCGGCTAATGCATGGATGGATTCTTTGTTTGGCACATTGTCCATTCATATATTCAGTTTATGGTTTGGCAACACAGCGGATAAGCACAGCCCGAGTGCAGGCTGCCACTGTCTGTGCGGGTAACACATGGATCTAGGGCTTGGGTGCTCACACTTTTTCAGCGTGCGAGCTACTTACAAAATGACCAAGTCATAAAGATCTACCTAATACAAAGCCAAACAAACTGCACTGAAACACTCTGTGCCCCTTTTTTGGACCCTCACCCACAGTTTGAGAACCCCTTCTTTAAGAGAACTTCCTCTGGCACTTTACACAAAACTGTGAAAAAAGTGAAGGAAGATTTTTAAACCCGTTTTTTAAAGTTCCAAACTGGAGTTGCATTCTTTTCTGGTTTTGCAGTGATATTTACCAGCCTCTGCACGTTTACCAAACCAAACGCACTTCGTGACAAAAACAGATGCATTTGTGCACTGTTGTTAGGCGAACTTCAGCCAAATGTCGCAGTAGGCCTGTTCTGTAGATCTGCTCTATGCTGTAGGCCTGCTTTGTGCCAACACTGGAACACAAATTTAGACTCGTTTTTGCTTCACGTTTCGTCTTGCTCTTCTAATCAGCGCGCACTGTGGAAAGGGCTTATGTTCGCTG